ATTCCTCTGTAGACATCTTGATACAAGGAAATTTTGTTTTATTATTTTAATTATATTCAATTGTAAAATATAAACTATTAAATAAAAAAAATTCTTAATTTTAAGTAGATTATCTTTTATTTAATGATTAATGTAATGTAATTTGATACAGTATATATTGCATTATATTTTTTTATTAGTAAAAAAAATTCGAAAAATAAAAATTATTGACAGTCTTCCCAAAATTTCCTTTTCAAATGAATCAAACCAATTAAAACTATGTGGCCAAGATAAATCAATTAAACTCTGATGGGAAAAAAAAAATCTTATTTTTTAAATCAAAATGGCTTTCTTTTCCCGTAACGGCAAAGCTCATGATTCGTGGGCTGGGTTAAATGCGAAAATTGGGCTTAATCTTAATAAAAATTTATACATGCCACAAATGAGAAGCGGCCCATGATTGCCTTTTAGCTTTGAGTGTCCAATAATGGCAAAAACGATACTTTTAATCCTTTACTTTAATAAAATTATAGGTTATAACTCTTATCTTATACTATAATAGTTTTAATCTCTTACGTATAGGAATTAAAGAAAATAGCTCGTGTTTAATATCCTTTTAACTGACTATTAGTTCTGTTAGTTGACTATTAACTCTGTTAACTAACTATTAATTTTATTAGTTGACTATTAGCTCTATTAGTTAACTATTAGTTTTATTAACTGATTGTTAACATTTCATTATAAAAAATATGAAATTTAAATGTAATTTTATTTGTTAATTTTATTAACGAAATGCGAATAGTTAACTAATAGAGTTAACAGTCAACTAATAGAGTTAACAGTTAACTAATAAAATTAATAGTTAGCTCATAAAATTAACAATTAGCTAACAAAACTAACAAAACGTTATAATCTGATATTAAGTAAAAGCTATTTTCTTCAAATAGTATATATAAAGAGTTAAAAGTGTCATAATATAAAATAAGAAATTAATATCTACAAATTTATTAAGGTAAAATGTCAAAAGTGAGTATTTGCCGTCCAATAACATCTCTTCGAATCTACATATATATA